GGTGTAACGTGGGTGTACCGAGGCGCACCCACAATCGCTTGCGCGGCTGCGTTCTGGACCAGCTGAAGTCTCCGAACACTCTTCAAGGGCTGCCCCATATAGAGCGCATTGCAGTAGTCCAGTCTTGAGGTCACAAGGGCATGAGTGACTGTTGTAAGATCCTCCCGGTTCAGGCCCACAGGCACGATCTGGAAACAGCAGACCAGCCTGCAATGCTTCTGCCAGTGAAAACAGACCTGGGCACTGAGTTTTCGAGTTTGACACCCCTGCCTTACACCATTTGAGACAGGTGGCTGTCCACTCTCTTCTTAAACACCTCTAGTAATGAAGCACCCACAACGTCCGATTGTTCCACTGGTTAATAGTCCTCATTGTTAAGAAGTTTCTCTCAATTCCAGGTTGCGTCTCTCCTTGATTAGTTTCCATTGTTTCGTGTGCTTTGGACAATTAAGTCCCATCCCACCCACCCCTTTTGTGGCAGCCTCTCAAACTCCTAGACATCTAATTTGGTAAAAAAATAAATAATTGAAAGACAGAATCTAAATCAGTGTTTCTCAACCTTGGCAACTTGAAGATGTCTGGACTTCAACTCTCAGAATTCCCCACCCAGCATTCGCTGGCTGGGGAATTCTGGGAGTTGAAGTCCAGACATCTTCAAGTTGCCAAGGTTGAGAAACACTGCTCTAAATGTATATTTTTTAATGGCTTGGAACAAAATCCTGTCAAATTGTGCTCCTAAGAATGGTTAGAGTTGAACTGACATCAGATTACTTATTTGGAACTTACTTTTCAAACAAGAGGGCACTGCAGCATATCCACAGAACCTGGGATTCAGTGGGAGGAATCAACCTGCTGTGTGATAAAAAGCATACGGTATTTTTGCTGCAGTGACATTGTTTATAGCCAGGTAAAGGGATAATTGGGGGAAAGTAGGTCAAGTTATTTTCACTTTCCAGAATCCAGATAGCCGAGGTTCTTATAGCTCCAGCAGATCAACAAGGCAGGAATTCCACAGGGATGGATTTCTCCACTTCGCTAGATCTATCTACCTTGTTAATTTGGAATGCCCTTGAAAGATGTGATAGGAGGTAAGGAACCGGGACGAGTATCAGAGGGCATCTGCCAAGGTCTGCAAATTGTCCAGTCATGGCAGCTTTGCTGGTGTTCTCCCCCTAGTCATTGTCATCTGTGAACGGAGTAAAAATCAAACAAACCCACAGACACACACTGTGTTCTGTCTGGACCAGGGGTGGGTTTCAACCGGTTCGCGGCGGTCCCTGTTAACCGGTTGGTGGGCGAACCCGGAAGTAAGTAACTTCCGGGAACGACGAAGGGCGCACCCACCCGCCCGCGCTCC